GAGAGAGAGAGAGAGAGAGAGAGAGAGAGAGAGAGAGAGAGAGAGAGTGTTTACAGTGCTATCAAATATTTGTAGTCATGAACAAAACTACTTCTAGCTCTTGATTCTCACTTGAGTTTTACTGGAGGAATTCCAGCAGCTGTCTATCTTGCAATAGTCCCTTTTCAATGGATTTCAGAAACCTAACCACACATACAACCAGCAACTTGCTCAACTCTCCAAATACCAGTCCTTTCTTGTCTTGAGTGATGATTAACCAAGTCCTGGAAGAGTGTTGCTTCCTGGTATTGGTGAAGAGACAAACCCAAGTACATCCTTTTAAAGTTTTGTGTAGTTACGCATATGCTGGCAGGTTGTAAACCATGTCTCATTCTCTCTTTCTATATTTCCTGCAGGTCTTACTTACTGCTTTTTACAATGTAAAAACCTATGAACAATTGAAATATGTACTTGTTGTACATATAATAAAATGCTAACAGATACCATTTAATTTGCACCATGGATCTAGCCTCAAGGATGTTGTTTCTGACCTTTGCAAATCTCTCTAAAAGGTAAGACTACTTATGATATGATTTCTTATGTAACAACAGCAACAACACAAAGGATGAAGATTCAGAAGGACAAATTACTTAGCTATTTTACACAGCTAGTATCTAGGGGAGCTAGGATGCAACCCTAGTTAAATAAATCCAACACAAATTCATATTTCTGCTTGTGTATCCTTTGCTGACTCACGTGGTAGTGTCAGAAGGCCTGCCGCCTACAGGAAGGACAGGTTCTAATATCAATACTAAGATCTCTTTATCTTGCAAGTGTGTTTCAGAAAATGGTGGTGGAAACCTTAGCTAATGACTATAGAAGGAATAAGGGGTAGACAGAAGCCAAATTAGAAAAATCACTGGAAGGAAAACAAAGATCCCATTGAAGGCCGGTCCCTAGTTGGTGAAACAGTTTGGGAAGGACTGGAAGGTATGGCCTTACTGGAGAAAGTGTGTCACTGGGCTTTGAGGTTTAAAAAGTTCACACCTATCCCAGCTAGTTCTTTCTTTATCTGCCTTGTGCTCTGGATTATACATAAGCTCTCCAGCACTATGCCTGCCTGCTTGTTGACATGCTTCCCTCCATGATGGTCATGTGTAAGATGCTTCTACTGTAGCAATACTCTAGAATTGTAAGCTTCCATAAATGATTTCTTCTATAAGCTGTCTTGGTAACTGTGTTTTGTCACAAAATAGAAAGCAACAAAGATAGCAAGTTAGGAAAATAACCCAACCCAACCATATCTAAATGTTTGTTGTAGTTTGCTATTCAATAGACATTTGCTATGTACTCACACTAGAAAGAAAAAAAGGAATAGCCCATTTTTAAAGTAGGTAAGTTTTCAGTAGTTGATGCAGGGGACTGAAAATATATAGCCATGGCAAGCCTGGATGATATGTACCATAGATGGGCAGGAAGGGAGTTTGACAGAGAAAGTTCCCCAACATACCTTGGGAAAAGACGAGTGGGAGACAGCTTTCCAGAAGGTCCTCTGTCTGACCTGGAGGAATCTGCATAAGGGAGTGAGAAAGAATTTTCAATATCTCACCAACATGTGTGACCATGACTAGCTGCAAGGTTGACACATGGACAGTTATGACTAGCTTATGTTCCACCCTTAGCAAGCAGACAGCAATGTGGTAGAGTGGTGCGAACAGCTAGTTTCAAAGAATCCACCAACTTGCCACCCATCCCCCATGGGAAGCATAAAGTAATCTAGGAGCATCTATCTTCTGGCATTCTCACACTCCATAGCCCTTGAAGGCTTTCTTTAGTGCAGGGTGATAAATCATGACCACCACACGGAGCTTATGAAAGGAAGAGAGAAAGCATCTTGTGTGATGTTTAAAAAAAAAAAAAACAGTCAAAATCAGTTGCTCAATGTGTTGGTTATTGTAGCTAACCCCTTAATGTGAGGGAATCCAGTCACTGCCAATGAGGTTTGTTATTAGTTAGTGCTTTGTAAGATGTTTCTATGATAGCAAACAGAAGGTATTGTGGGGGCAGAGTATAAAGTTTCGATTTTGTGTGTGCAAATGTGTGTGTGTGTGTGTGTGTGTGTCTATTGTTCTCCAGCTTGTTTGAGACAAGGTCTCTCACTGAACACGGATCTCATCAATTCTACTAGGATATCTGTCCAGTACCAGGAGTACAGGTTCACGCCATCATACCCAGTCTTTTACCTGGGCTGTGTGAATCTAAATTCAGATTCTCATGTTTTCATGGTGAACATTTTATATGACAGTGCTTCTCCCCAGCCCCAGGGTTGATTTTATTGATTTTAAATAGATGACTTTTAGAACTATGAAAGCCTGGAACGTCTTCATTAAAGAAGATTTAAGTCATAGGCATGACAATGGGCTTCACTTGGAGGAGGGTGGCAGGTGATCAATAGTCTAAAAACTATCACAGAATATTCTAAAAGTCAATGATAGTATCAAGACTTTGAACAGCCTGGCCCAGATAAACGTGATTTTCTTGCTGACAATTACTACTGAAAACAAATAAGGTCATTTAGACTTTCAGCTTGGGCTGTTATTTTACTAGTAAAAGAAGTGGGTGTGAGAGAGGGCTACAAAGGGGGTTGGGAGAGAAAAATAAGAGGAAGGAAGAAACTCAAAGCCACTACCGTTTGAACTACGCCCTTATTTTCTGCAAGTTGTGATCAATCTTTCGAATTTTTTGTAGACAGTTTTGCATCTTAATAGTAGCCAATAAATGCTCTCCTTTCACATTTATGCATAGACATCTAAAAAAATAGTGATTTTTTTTCTTATCCTAAAGGGAAAAAAAATGCCACATTTCTCTCAAGGAAAGAAATGAAGTCGAAATCATTGCCAAAGCGCGCACTGGCATTTAAAAAACACAAGCTACTGACAGATGGCTAATGGTCTGAGTATCAGCAAAATCAAAGCAAGGAAATTACTAAGAGGACTCTAATCGTTCAAAGATAATTGCACAGAGCAGTTTCACATTTACTTGCTACTGGTGTCGACGTCAGTTGAGAGACTCGGTACATCTCGAGAAAGCTGCTTGTTCAAACTTCACAGATTTTTTTTTTTTCTGCAAAAGACGTTTTAAAAAAAAAGATGGACTATATATTAAAAATAGACAAATGATGCCAAAACAGATGGCGTCTACTAATTGCACTAGTCAGATTTGTTTGCTGAAATAGTACAGAGATGTAGGATTGGAGAAGCAGACCAGATTGTAGGACTTTAGTGAGGTGCAGCCTACTTCAAAGACTTTAAATTCTATTTTTCATTGTCTCATTCCTTAAGTCTGAATATTCCGTAAACAACAACACCATTTTGAGAGAAAAGCAATACTTACAAAGGTTGATTTGTCATGCAGATTAAATAGTTTTTGTTACTTAATTAAGAAATCTGAAAAAGAAGACTGGTTCTAGAGCCCTTGAAACAAACATGTATTTAAAGCAGCCAGCAGAATGTAGTTTCATTATTGAGTTGCAGAAAGTGCTTGGAGACGGTTGCCTGCCTTTTTTCGCTCAACAACATGAACCATTGACAAGTGGCCATGGAGAAGGTCGGTGTTTTCTGTGGTGGCTATCAGTCTGAACATTCCTAAACAGCATAAGCTACACTGAGCTACAAATAGCCCATCACAACCCAGATTACAAAGCTACATTCCTGAAAGCTTCTTATTTATTTTTCAATTTCAAAGTAAGCATGCTTCAAAGTGTGTGATTTGTGTAAATATTGATCAGTTACTTCATATCACATAATTCTATCTCCATGTAACTACTGAATTACATAAATTATATATATATACATACATATGTATATATATAATTACACATATATATGTGTACACACACACATATATATATACATATACATATACATATGTATGTAAGTATGTATGTATAATACTACCTTAGTAGTTTTGTAAGGTGACACTAGAGTCTTTTATGATCCAGTAATTCTGTCCCTAATTTTTATAAAAATGTCAACTAATAATTGATTGTTGTAGCATAATACATTAAATCAACCATATAAACTCTAAGGTTCAGTCTAGATTATTTTAATAATGTATGTATGAAACTTTCAAGGAATCATATACTCCATCTTATAAGATCACTTTAAAGAATACAGGAGAAGTTTCTAGCATTCTTTGGAAGATTTCTAAATAAAAACACACATTATTTGTTTTTTTAAAAAAAGACAACCAATGGTTTGAAAAAGAAGATGATATTGCATACAAGCAAACACATCTCTTGTCACTTCAGCATTGACCAATACAATAAGAATGTGTTCAATCCAAATGCCAGTGTGTTAGTTTTTCTCAGGCAGTAAGCTTAGTTTTAAGGCAAGACATTTCTGCAGCAGAAAGCAAGGTCTCATTGTTTGATCTTACAAAAGCCATGTAAAGTGAGCATAACACCTGTTAGTCAAGAATTAGTAACTGTGAAAACAACTTGCATTAACAGCTCGAGAATTTTTCAAGAAACAAACTCTGTCTACCAGCTCATCAAAGCAATGCATCTGTTCTGAAATATAACTCGTTCATACATATTCCTCCACAGGGGGTCCCCAGGCTCTTCTTCCAACTGATAAATGACAGGAAGATTACTGAAATGCGATGCTTCCCTGTGGTTGGTAGTGCAGAAAGCTGGACCAAGTCGTTCTTCAGCAGAAAAATCCCTTCAGAATGTCAACAGGTGCAGAAGTTACTGCCCAAAGGGAATCCTGTATTCCCTTCTGATGGAAGCTGGCCATGTCACTGCCACGAGTAGGCATCCACAGGGCAGTTTGGTCTTCAGGAGCCTCTGGAGCTTTCAGCTGTTTCCTAGAATAGAATAGCTTGTCATTCTTGGGAGTTAGTCTCACGGCCCTTGTTTACTTTCAATATCAGCCTTTCTGAACTAGAGGCAGGGCAGCAGAATGAGGTCATACTTCCTGTCATGATCGCATCAGTGGTGTTCACATAGTGAGTATAGCAGATCTCCTTGACTATCAAAGGGAACAGGCAACTCAGAGTCAGGTCAGCTCGATACACTGTGATCAACAAGGGATGCTTCTCACTCAGAGCCTCTGTGTCACCTCAACCTGTACGATCATGAGAAAAAAATCAAGCAATGCTTCCTGTTTGTCATTTTCTGATTACATTCAATTATGAGTAGTATACAGTTATGTTCTTGGTCCAATTAACCTAAATATGTCGAAGATAATATATCTTCTGCTATCAAGTTCAGGATGCCATAAGAGAGTATAAAAAAAAAATGTGATCTTATGAGAATTTCCACAGTATTAATATGTTGAATCAAAAAAGTTTGATCTTTCAAAATGTTCAATGGGTGGCATTCTGCATTTACATTTTATTACAGTTCAAATCTCTTTGTGCTTCTGTATACATCTATGCTCTTTAAGCAGCAACAGAAGTAGTTACTCCAGAAACACTGAGGTAACACCAGAAGTAGAAGGATTTCACAGGCTCACAGGCTACTATTAAAATCGTCTTTCATGCTAGCTAGCTTTGGGACCTCAGACTTGTGACTTAGCATCTTTGAGTTGCAATTTTCTCAAATTTAAATGTAATAATCTACAGCCCCAAGGTTGGCCTGGGGAATCAAATGAGAAGAAAGAAGAAAGAAATAGCTGGGGACCTGAGGAAATGTGCAAGACGTGTTCCTTAGTGGATTTTGTGAATTGACTTCTCTTTGGAGAGTTTGGTTGCTCAGGCTGATAGACAAGTTGGTGTCATCAATTCTTTTTTTTTTTAATTGGATGTTTTATTTACATTTCATATGCTATCCCCTTACCTCATTCCCCCTCCCCCGCCCAGGAACCCCCTATCCCATTACCCCTCCTCCTGCTTCTCTGTGGATGTGCCCCTATCTACCCCCCAATTCCCACCTCCCCACCCTCAAATTCCCACACACTGGGGCAGCCAGCCTTCGTGAGACCAAGGATCTCTTCTCCCATCTATGCCCAACAGGGCCATCCTCCCTTACATAATACAGCTGGAGCCATGGATCCCTCCCTAAGTGCTCCCAGGCTGGTGGTTTAGACCCTGGGAGCTCTGGTTGCTTGGTATTGTTGCTCTCATGGGGCCACAAACCCTTTCAGCTCCTACAGTCTTCACTCTAACTCCTCCATTGGGAACCCGATGATCAGTTCAATGGCTAGCTGTGAGCATCTGCCTCTGAATATGTCAGACTCTTGCAGACCTCTAAGGAGACACCTATATCAGGCTCTTGTCAGCATGCACTTCCTGACTTCCACATCAGCATCTACCTTTGGTGACTGCACATGGGGTGGATACTCAGGAAGAATGGTCTCCAGACAGCCCCTCCTTCAGTTTCTGTCCCTCACTTTGTCTACATATTTGCTCCCTTGAGTATTTTGTTACTCCTTCTAAGAAGGACCAAAGCACTCCCACTTGGTCTTCCTTCTTCATGAGTTTCATGTGGTCTGTGAGTTGAATCTTGGGTATTTCAAGGTTCTGGGCTAATATCCAATAATCAGTGAGTGAATACCATGTTTGTTCTTTTGTGATTGGGTTACCTCACTCAGGATGATATTTTCTAGTTCTATCCATTTGCCTAAGAATTTCTAGAATTCATTGTTTTTAACAGGTGAGTAATATTCCATTGTGTAAATGTACCACATTTTTTTGTATCCATTCCTCAGTTGAAGGGTTCTTTCAATTCTTTTTTTTTTTAATTGGATGTTTTATTTACAGTTCAGATGTTGTCCCCTTACCCTATTCCTCCTCCTCCCCTGCCCAGGAACTTCCTATCCCATCACACTTCCTCCTGCTTCTCTGCGGATGTGCCCCTACCTACCCCCCTCCCACCTCCTCACCCTCGAGTTCCCCCACACGCAGCATCCAGGATTGCTTGAGCATCAAGATTTTGTTGATGAACTGCAGATAGACTCAAAGCGGAGTACCATGTCTTCTTAAGAATAGCAGGGAGACCATAACTCAAGCAGTGTACCATATCTTCTGAAGAACTGCAGGTAGATCATAATTCAAGGCAGTGTACCATATAGACCATGACATGTTTCAAGGCACAGGCCAAGAAGATTTTGTACTTTTCCACCACCTGGACCCTCTTACCCCCTCCCCTTGTAAAATATGCTATAAAAAAGCATTTCATGTTCAAAAAAAAAAAGAAATTAAAAAAAAATTAAAAAAAAAA